CTGACTTATTTTCTATATCTGCTTCTGAAAACTTCCACCATTTAAATTAAAATAATAATCATAACAATGAACAACTACTGCTATTTATTGAATGGATGCTATGTTTTAGACATTACACTGTGTACTGCTTTATAAAATTATTAAATTTAATTTTCACAACTAACTTATGCTACAAGAATTTTTTATTTCCCCCTCCTTATTTTTACAAAATTAAAACATAGGAAGAAAAAGATCATACAGCTAATAAATGTTCAAGATTTTGGACATGGTCTGCTTTATAACCCTTCTCTTAATCACTGCAACTCCCTAGTTCTCCATCAGAAACAGAGGGTAAAGAGATACAAATTCTTGAAATCACAGTGTGCTCAAAATATTTACCAAAGCCTAATATCTACCAAAACAATAAATAACTTCTATTATTTCCTATATGTTCAGAATATGTCTGAAAACATTAATAAAAAAATCAAACATTTTCCTTTATCAATGTAAAGCCCCTAGATTCAAAATGATATCAAAGGTTTGGCTGTCACTGGAAATTAACCACTATTTTTCACAAAAATAAAAATGGAAGTCTTAAATCTGATCAGTTTTTAGAATGCTAAACTAAGAACTATAATTTATGTATCATATGTGATTGCTGACAATCAGAACATTGTGATAAGGTACTAATTAACAACATTCAAACTATTCGTTGCAATTTTAGGATTTCGTAAGCAGCCTTAATTTTTTTTTTCTACCATAAAGGAGTAAAAATACTTGATGTTGGTTTTGGTCTTTAAAATATGGTTAATAATATAAAATAATAAAATTCACAAAAGAATAGAAAATATTTATAAACATATAAAGAAGTTAAACAACATTAATACAACCAAATTGAAACAATAATACATTTCATCTCTATAATTTGGCAAATATAGAACAATAAAGAAATATCTAGTAATAAGCATGAATACAGACACTCATGCTCGTATACAGCTGCAGGATGTGTAAGTGGATAGAACCTTTTGGAAGAGTGATTTGGTAATATGCAGCAAAAACATTAAATATGGACGTTCTTCTTGAAACAATAATTGCAGTAGTAGAAAATTATCCTAAGAAAATGCATATGGATACATTCATGAACTTAGTCAAAAAGATCTGTACAGTAATATTTAAAAAATAACAACAGCAAAAGTAGTTTCAATGCCAAATAAAAAAAAATGAATAAGTATATCACTGTAAATAAATAAAATGCAATTTTATGTAGTCATTAAAATGAGTACAAGAATGTTTAATGATATGGAAATATGTTTACTGTTTAAAAATGATACACAGTGTTTCTATTTTTGTTATTGAACCTATAGATGTGTAGAGAAAAATAAAGATTTTACACCAAAATGGTAACTGTTGTTATCCTTAGATAAGGAGATCATAATTGATTTTTACTTCTTTTTGCTCATTTGCATGTTTCATTTGGGTATCTTCCTATTTTTTAATAAAAACAATGAAGATGTATTATAAAATATAGCTAATGTTGACTATAATGATTTACCTTGGTTCTGTGAAAAGTAAATAAGTTGGGCTTCCCCATTTTTGCCAGATCATTGGGCTGCTTTATACATTTTTCTCTTACTAATAGACAGCCCGACCATACCCCCCTCCTCCCTCTTCCTCCCACCGTATCCCCTTTCCCCTTCCCCTCACCCCGCCTCCCCTCTCCTTCACCCTCCAATTGCTCTGCAACAACACCTTAGAATGCAAAAAATCATCATAATAATAAATATATAAATTTTAAAAATAAATAAATAATGAGGCAGCCCAGCTATGTCCTCACTAACTACCATCACATGTTGTTCCAGAAGATGTTAATCCATACCCGGATGCCACTGAGAATCATTCTGAGTGGATGATTAAAAATGGCATTTAAAAGTAAATATCTAAAGTCTATATAATATCTAATGTTATTACGATGCGGCAACTAATACCAAAAGGAACTTCAAATGAAGAACAAGGAAAAACTTATTTTACTCACAGAGATTTTGTCCTTTGCCTGTTTAAATACACTGGGAGCCTGAGTTGATTCACCACTTGCTGCTGTTGAAAAGAAAAGACACAAACGACCCCAAACTTAGTGGCTAAAATCCACATAAATGCATTTTTCAATACCTTTTAGATATTCAGTTGTGTCAACAGACTAATGCAAAGCAAACTTTGGCTTACTTGGAGACTCAAATTCAGTAACTGAAGAAACCTGAGTAACAGTAACATAGCATGTGGCTCCAACTACAGTGTGTGCTGATTAATATAACCCAGTGTCAACCAAAGCACAGGTAAGCACACCAGATAATTTCCTATTGATCACCAGCATACCTTTGAATCACTGCTACATGAGGATAGATCCTTTAGAATGGAAGTTACAGAATAGCAATGGAGATGCTGCAGAATTTAAGAAACAGGGAGCTGAATGGGGTGTAGGGTTGGCATGATACAGAAGAGTGTTCACAGAGATTTCCAAACCCTATTCTTGTTCTGGAAGTCTATGCATTTTTCTGCATTTTATATTTTCAACTATCATGACCAGCCAACGCCTTTCCCTATGTACCCCTTCATTTCATGATATGTGTGACACACCTGTTTGATGTAAAAATGCATCACATGAGAAGAGAAGAAAAATAGCTTATCAAGGACAGAAAACACAAAAGGAATTTTAAGTTCAGTAAATACAGAACATGTTCTACACATGCACTTCCTGTATGAAATTATTACCACATCTGTTACTGTTGTTTCTCTTGCTGCTGTTTTATACTTCTGGTTTCAATTTTATACTCTATTAATACTAGCATATTCTCTGTTGATGACTTACCTGACTTGACTTAAATATCACTCATGATTTAAAACAATCCTTTGTGTTTGGGAAAACCATCCATATTTGAAAACTGAGCTTAGACAATAAAATACGCAAGCTGTGTCTTTACTTCCACCTTAATTTTCTTTCATAAAAGAGAAACCCTCAGGAAAAAAAATACATATCCTTAT